CCCGGTGTCCCTGGTCTGCTGGAGACGGTCCCCAGCAGACCAGGGGCACCGGGAGCAAAGCCGAAGCTGCCCCACTGCCGGAGCCCCTCCACGGCTTTGCTCTGCGTCTTCCTGGTCTGCAGACCAGGGAGACGCAGAGCAAAGCCCCAGAGTACATGGGCGGCAGGACCACGAGGTCCCGCAGTCCGTGTACTCTGGGGCAGCCCCGTTTGTAACTGCGGATCCGACATAAGTCTGATCCGCGTAAGTCGGGGACTGCCTGTAATCTGAGAGTTCACAAGAGTGGTTGGCTGGAATATGCAGAAAGCTGCTCTCAACTTCGGAATATCACATTTCTAATGAGAACTGTTTTAAAGTCAGGAACTGCTAAAAATAAAAATAACTAAACTGAAGTAAGAACTAAGCTATGCCTGTGGAACATTTTCTCTCTGTTTAAAATATTGCTGCTACTCTTTTTTTGCTCTTTGAGAACAGTCTGACAAAATAGTAATTTAAAAAGAAGAACAAATAATTCTTTGCGGTTATGGTATTCAGAGCCAGGATTCAGGGAACTTGAGTGATTTGTTTGTCTATCAGCAAGTTTAATAGGGTATATGAATAAAACTAAAACTTAGCTTTGCCTGCAAATGTCCCAGTTAAATGCGTTCCACTGGGAAACGCTTCTCAGAATGTTTTATGTTAAGTAGTGCATTTGGTTCTTGAATGTGTCTCATGACCTTGGCCAGTCCTTCCAATGCATGAGCAGAGGCAATTTTTCATCATGTTGCTTATTTTTGCGTTCTGAATTTCATTTTTGTCTTAAAGTACTGAAAACTCTTTATAAGTGGTCAAAAAGATGTTTGTTTTTTAAAACTCCTTTTCATTTGTTTCTTGAAAACTGAAATTTGGTTTGTTGGTATTTTTCCTCTATTGTGCATGCATCTGAGAGAGGACTGCTCACGAGCTCTAGGATATATGCACTGATTTGTTATCATGGCCTTGCTCACAAGGGCTGAGTTGTGTTTTGTAGGCATTACTAGAATGCTTAAGAAAATAAAGCATTACAGCATTTTGTAAGTATTATGGGGTAAAAGGCATGAGCACTAAAGCATTACATTGATCTTGAAGACAGGTTTTTAAAAGATAGGTTACATTTTTGACCCACTAATTGTCCCTATAGGTAGCTACCAAAGTTATCATTCCCTTTTCTATAGTGCAGCTAACAGCAGTATTCCAAATATATGTGCTATCTTATTTCTGCTTGGTTGCTCTTTGAAGGAAGGGCCACTTTTGCATGTCTCTAAATTGCACTGAAAGGAAATTGCATCTAGTCCTCATAAATTCTTGAAACTATGCTCATTTCAAGTTAAGAATATCAGTTTTCCCTCTTTCTCCTTTTTTTCTTGTATTTTATCATACGGAAAATCCTTGTAGTGTTTAATAGAAAATAATGCCCACCCTATAGAACTTAATAGGGAATCATCATATCTGTGCTGTAGAATTCTGTGCTATGGCTAAACGTCTAATAGAAATTCCTCGCCATTCTGTATGTTCGTTAAGAGTAACTTTGTAGGATGCTTCTAAATATATATTGATTTTATCTGTATTAAAGTCCATAGTACTTTTCTATAAGAGTTGTTGTTAGAACACTATGGTTAAAGTTAGAGTGTCTACTGCTATTGATTCGCTTATTTTAAAATAAATTCATTTTAAAAAGCCAGCAGAATAGAATCCTCTTCATTTGTGTAGATTTAAGAGAGTTAGTACTGAAAAATGCCAGGAGGTATTGGCCCTGGTTGCTAGAACACGCAGCCCTATGATAAATCTTGTCATTTCACAAATTGCATTAAAATAAGGAAATGCAAAGGGCTGAAGTATTTAACATAATTATCCTTACAAGTTTTTGGTAGCTTTAATCCTGTTACAGGGTCCACACCACAAAATAATTTGTCATCCTAGTTGGCAGACCTCATTAAAGTTGAACTGAATAAGCCATGGGGATTCATCCTCCCTACAAGTAGTTCCCTTAGAACAAGAATGATGCACATTGAAAGAGAATCGTAAGAGGAAAGCTGCTGCTGTGAATGCTATATTTGTTTGAAAGATAAACAAGAGAATTTAGCTCTCCGGTGCTGTGCTATCAATCCAGCTTAAAAGTAACTGGATTTTTTGAGTGGTGATGGTTGCAAGAACACTAAATAAATAGAGCTAACGGTTCAGC